AGATCTGGTTTAAGTGGTTTATCTTCAATATCTTCTTATTAAAAATTAGGATCAATCATTTTCATTAATTCACCAATCTTCTGTTTTTCTTCAGCTGTTTTCTTATTATCTAAATCAGTTCCTCTCTTATATTTCTTTTTGTTCTTATATTTATTTTATTTTTGTAAATATTCAATCATTCTCTATTGATATTATTATAGAGTCTCTCCTTCTCTTATTTTTTCAGGAGCTATTTTTTCTTATTTCTTTTATTGTAACAATTACTTTCTATATTCTTCATCTTATTTTCTTTATTTAGCAGCATTAATCTCTCTATTCTTCATTGCAATAAAATCCTAATAAGAAACAGGTGCAATATTTTAAGGTGGTTCTACTTCTGAAGAATATTCATCTCTTTATTTATATTTGTATTAAATTTATAAAGCTGTATTCTCATCTAATGGTTATGTTATCTATTATTTATAATTGACACATAAATACCTTCTATTTTAATTAAGTAAAAAAATCTTGTTTCTTTTTGAAATGAACTTAAGGCAAAGTTTCATCTTCATTAGGTCTCACTTATTTTCTGGGCATCTTATTTATTTGTACTTCTTCTTCATCAGATTCTATATTCATTTTTGTTTAAATTTGATCAGGAATAGAAATTACTCTTTATTTTGGCTTCTCATTATTTTTTTGATTCTATTCTCCAATACCTTTAGTAATAGGTTATCTAACTTATTTTAATTATTAAGGCTATTTTAGATTACTCAAATTTTAGGATTGTTAAGGTTATTAGATTTTAATTTATGAAAGTGATTATTGTAATTATGATATACTATCAAGAGTATTATTACCTTAATTTTATTGCTATTTATATGTTTCAGTTTATGTTTATAATTGTTATTGTAAAGTAAGTTATAATTATGAAGTACTGTTTCGATCTTCAAATTTTTACAATGCACATTCTTATTTTTTAACTACAGTTTCTAAAAAATTAGATGTTGAATGTCTCTATTTAGGTTCATCATCATCTGAATTTATTGTTATTACTAATCCTTATCTAGCTTGTAATCTAATTAATATTATTAATCTTAAATTTACGTATTATCATCTCCAATTTGAACATCCAAAACATTGTCATCTTCTATCAATTATGGACCATATTTATTTTTATAATATTGTCTAGCAATTAATGAACGTGCCCTTTATTACATTATTTTAATTCATAAGTACTGTCAAGCAAAAGTAGATATTGATAAATAATCATTAAAATAATTAGTATCAGTCCAATAGTAAATATATATATAAATAAATAAATAATATCATCATTTACAAAATGGACTAACAGCATAAGTTCTTGATTTTAAATGAAATGAATTTCCAGCTTTAGTAGATTCCCTATCTCTAGAAGATAATTGCTATTAATATCTCATTTATCTACTAGAATCTAAATGAACACTAGGTTAAGGAGAATGATATGTCCTAGATACTTTTCTCATTTAACTGCATCTCAAAATCTCTTTCTCTTATAATAATTTTTCAATATTATCAGTTGATATCTCTTTTTCTAACATTTCTTATTAATATTCTATGACTTCTCGTGCATATTAATTTAGACAATTATCAAATTATTCATCTAAACTAGTAGGTGATGATAAATTCTTCATTAATCGTATTGATTAACTACTTTAAGGAATTACTAATTAAGGTACTTCAGGTATTTCAAACATCTTTTACATTTAATTCTATTTAGTTAAATTGAATAAATATTTTGCTCTATTAAAATCTTCAGCAAAAACTATTGCCTTTTAAGATACTACAGGTTTTTATTCATTCTTTTTAAGTTTCATTGAAAATTCATTACTTTAATCTATTATCTTTAACATCTATTCACTCTATTCTTCCATATTATCATAGATATTAACATCATGTTGTAGTTCTTTGTGAATTGGACTCTAGTTTTCTTTCTTTTATCTATAAATATCTGCCATAGATTTCTCTTTTACTCTATATTAATCAGTTCTTAATTAATTAAATACACGTAAACGTTTTAATAGTCCTTCACTTATATCATTAGTATTCTTTTTATTTAATTCATTATAAATTTCAATATATTTCATTCCTTTAGTTTTAAAATATTTAATAGGTAAATTCCTATTATTAAGTAAATCAAATTTGGCTTTTCTAATTTTATTTTTGAAATCAGGATCATTTGAATTAAAACAATATTTCTAATTAAGATCTCTATAGAATTATTACAAATGGGCTATTTTATTTTTAAAATCATTCTTTAATTTCATTTCATTCTTTTCAATTTATTTTTAAATTGCATCATTATCAAAATCTAACTCTAATTAATTTTTATCTGCAATAGTTGCCTTATTATCATAATACATTTCTAAACCAATATTTTACCATCCATTAATCCTTTTCTAAAGTATTTATATACTTATAATACATCCTTACTATCTTTTGGTTTCAAAATACGACATGTACTAGGTCCATCCATTTTAATTGTAGTATCCCATTTACAAATACGTCTTTATGCAAATTGAAGTGCTGTTTATTTTGGACATTTCTATTTAATAATTAAATAAAAAACCTTACATTATTAATTAAATGAAGAAATGTTGCAGCCTTTGTAGGTGAAATGTAAATATCTTTCATTTTCACTCCACCAAGTTTCTAACAAAATTTAAAGTATGGAATCTCATTTAGAAATTTATAATTTTACTTCTTCTTTCTCTATTGATTACATTTTTATAAATATATATATGAATAAAAATTATAATTAAAGACTCTAACAAAAAACAAATATTTACAATAGTAAAATCAATTAGTACTTTTTCTTGCTTTTTCTAATTCCAATAATTTCTCAAGCATCTTAAATCTCAATAAACCATAATCAATATATTCAAAATTAAGAGAATTCTTTTCATGAGCCAAAAGAATACTCCACCATACCCAATTTAAATTTGATATTATTTAAAATCTTCTTATTCTTCTTTTCAAATAAGAAATTGCATTAAATAAATTCACAATTTCTTATTCACTCAATCTTTATTCAAGAATTTATTTAACTAATCCAATAAAATTCTTTAATTCATCCTTATTTTTATTGGTTTTTTCATTTATTAACTTTTATATTTAATCTATTTCCATTTAAGTACATTCCTTATTAATTATATAACTTAAAGCAAGGAAATGTGCTTAAATTGGAGCACTATTAAAATTGTCATCAACAAGAATATAGTAAGGTTCTTCTTCATGTTAATAGTTTATTGCAGATTCATTTAAGAAATTAGCAATATCATAAGAAGGATAATTATATGAACAATATTCATAATCTATGAAAATGATTTCCTTATCCTTTTTAGATGTGTTAAAAATGTTTAATTAATTCAAATCATTATGGCAGAATTTTAACTAAAAATTATTGTTAATAATAATACCTCCTCATGATTCTCCTTCTATGTCATCTCATTTAAATAATTGAATTCTTCTGCATTATTAATAAAGTTTTCCATACATTCCAATTATTTTAGTTCTACATCTGTATACAATTGTCGTTTTTCTATCTTCTTAATTACATTTTCTTTCATTTCCTCAGAAATTGTCTTTCTTAAAATCAATGATGATCCATTATTTGGTATAGGTATGTCCATCTAATGGAATTTCTATAAAACTCCCATAGACTTAAATTAAAAATTAGCTTCAGCCATTTTTTAATTGTTGGGATGTACTCCATCTTTTACAAATTCTTCCATTCTCCAACTATCACCACATTCTAACTATTAAGGTCCAAGATCCATATCAGAAATTGTTTTAAATACAATTCTCTCTTGTTATGAATCCACGAATCCTTCAGCATTACCAAATCTAATTATAAATGATAACAATCATTACTCTCTAAACAATATTGTTTATGGTGTAGTGTCCATCATAGCCTATGCTTTGTATGTGATATTTGTTAACCCTGTCAATCTAGAGATATTGATTTATGAAGGGCTGATTTAATTCCAAGAAGTGAATTTCTCGGAAATGATTTCTTTTATTGCATATTCTGTAAGATGTGTGCTTCTTGAGTTCATTATTTATTATATAAGTGTTTTTAAATACAATATCTCAGGTATACAAAGGCACAATATTGTTGTAATATTCGTACGTACCTGATTTAAATCTGACGTGTATTTTTTATATTATTTTAAATAAACAATTATTTTTATGCAAACAATTAAATATTATTGTGATTCAAGTTTTATAAAAAAAATATTGTAGAATAACTCTTTCTCTTTATTAATTTATTATTAAATTAATATTATTTTTCATGTTAATTTGATTATCGTTAAACAGATAAATATATATTTAGAATCTAATATCTATTATAGTTTATATTCTCTAAATAAATTAGAAATGATAAATTTAATGAAAAATTTATAAGATTAAAAATATAATATCTATTTGTAAAATTATCAATAAAATTTATGTCATAAGATTACTACTTATTTTGCTATAATATATTAATGAATAACCATTTTACGTTCCTTATATTGAGACTTTTATTGTTAAACTATATATTGGCTATTATAATTATTCATGGGTGATAGAATAATAAATAACTATATTGAATATATGTCTATCGATCATCCTCATTTTATTTCATCTTCCAGTTTGATTTGACTTTTTCATCTTTCTATATAAATATTGTTCATTTATATTAATATCTATAGTATTTATTTTTGTTAATTTTATAAAATCCATTTATCTTAATGAAAGTTAACATTTTATGCTAAAATCCTCATATATACTTTTAGATAAGGATTTCAATTAAGCTCCAATGAGTATTAATCTAATTTATAATTATTAAATAGTTTTTAAAATAATTTCTATCAAAATTTTTTTATTAGAATTAAAATACCTTTGAGAAACTAAACAATAAGAATTATAATGATGTAAATGAATTACAGGATCTCATAAATAAATTATATGAAGAACTGAATATCAAAGAAAAAGAAATGTTTATCAATCACTTAGAAAAGAGATTTCCTAATTAATTAGAATTGGTTTAAGAAAACAACTTTAAAAATCAAATTTCATTTTAAAACCTTGATGATTTTGCAGCTAATTTAATTTAGGATGAAAATTTATTAGCGAGTTATTAGAATGAAAAAAATAAGACAAATGAAAAATTTGAGGAACTATGGAATGTAAATTTAAACGAACTGAAAAAAAAGAATTAAGATTCACTCAAAAAGTTGAGTGAAAAAGAATTTTTAAGGGTTTTAAGTAAATGTAAAAAATATAATTTGGACTCAGATAAAAAAGAGTAAATAGAATAATTTACAAGTAATTTGATAATGAATAAGCTTGGTTAAGATGATTTTGATTAATCCTTTAATATAATGCATAAGGATTTGACTCAAAGTAGTGTATTTGAGATATTTGAGTTTATAAATAGAGATAAAACAGACTTTAAGCAAATAGAGCCAAGACCTATAAAGGATTGGGTGCAAAATGAGTATAAAGGAAAGTTTCAAAAAATCATAACTCAAATATATGATATTGAAAAAACAAAATTGATATCCTCACATATTTAACTTTCTAATTTAGAAATATAGTTAAAATGGATCTCAATAAGAGATTTAGAGAATTACTTCAAAAATAAAGCAAATATAGATTTGACTAAATTTTGTGAAAATAAGGACTAGAGAGAAGCAACATTATAATTTTTTGATCTTTTCAAAATTTTCGGCTATAGATTTAATACAGATAAATTTGATGAATTTTAAGATTTAGTCATTGCTAAAAAGGAGAAAACTATATTAGACTATTTAATTTATCAAGAAATACCTTTTAAGAAATATTATCTAAATAATTAAAATGAATTAAATTTCTTAGATAGATTGAGTATTAGTCCTCAAACAACAACAATTAAAGCAAGTGAAGAATTGGATGAGAGAACCAATTTTATCATAGATAAAAAAATAATTTATAATCAAAACACTGTGGTCATGTTTTAAAAAGATAAATTTGAAAAAGATTATAAATTATTTGATTTGATTATGGACTTTAAGAATGATTGGAAAAATATCTATGAAAAAATCTACAGGATAATAGAATAAGAATTTCGAGCAAATGAAACTTAATTTCATATTAGCATGATCCAATTGATTATGGATAAAGTAGAAAAGTAAATTGATTAATTTAATCAATGTTTTTTTTAATACGGAGCTATTTTAGGAAATGTTGGATAAAAAATATTTTATAATTTTGCAATCTTTATTTTTTGGAGGTATTTATGTTATCAAAGATATTAATAATATATTAAATATGAAAATGAAGAACTTAGTTTATTGAAAAAGGAAAAGTTTGATAAATTTATGGCAGATATTTAACAAAATTAAAGTATGTAATCACTGTTAAATGGAAAAGCCATTTCTAAATTGATTATTGATTAATCAATTAAGTAACATTAAATTAATCTTATAAATGATGCCTATAAAGAATTAGATCAATTAGTAAATGATCCTAAAATGTAATCTTATTATTTAATTAATGATCTTGATGAAAAATTATTTAATTAAAAAGAAAAATAAAATTCTTATAGCTAAACTCAGAAATACATTGACAATCCTGTTAAGTTTATTGAGGATGAAGTTACTAAAAGAACTGGAAATATGAGATAATAATTTGTAGAGTAATATAGTCAAAAATTAAGAGAGAATGTGAATAAGGATTTATCTTTGATTCTTTCAAAATTGTCGAAAATACAAGGATAAGCTATTGAAAATTAAAAAGCTACCGAGTTCTTCATCTAATTAATAAATCCTTAAGATGCTCCAAAAATTTTATATCAAATAGTTATGAAATATTTGGTAGGAAATTTATCTAAAGAAGATTTAGATAATATATAAGATAAATTTAAGAGCATTTTTTAAATTTCGAATGATCAGTGTAAAATAGCTGAATAATTGTTATAAGCAAAAGATTAAAGAATAAACATTTTATCAGATTTTGTTTCAGGATTCATCATTGAAGTAAAAGAATAAATTCAATAACTCAAAGTCTCAAATTATTTTATCGAATAGTACATTTAAAAAATAAGATATAATTTGATTGGATGTAGAGAATGTTGTCCAACTTGTAAGAGAAAATGTGATATAGATATAAGTAAAGTTGATCATAAACATGAATGCAGAAATGAGCATGCAATAAGAGGTATGGCTGGCATTCTTGTAGAGTAAGAGCCTTCCTTGTATTCATGCAAAGAGATTAAACATGACTACTTAGTTTAGGAATTTGATTCAAGTTATCATTCTTTTTATATGAGAGATATTAGAGATATGTTTAAAGATTGGGATATTCAAGAAAGGTGTAGTGATAAAAAAACAAATGATAAGTTTAATGTAATATGGAATAATATTGGTAAAGATTATTGTTGCTATCGATTTGGAAGAAGCTTTACTTTTAATGAAAAACAAAGTAATTTAAAGGAAAACTAATAAAGCTATCATTATGTGATTTTATTAGATGATTCTGGATCTATGTCAGGAGATAGATTTAATTAAGCATAAAATGGAATACTTTCATTTTTATAATAAGCATAATAGAATTAGAATATAAGAGTTACCATCATAATCTTCAATAGTACTGCTAGATGTGTAGTAGACTGTTCACCTATAAACATGCAAACTATAAAAAATGTATTAGTATGTAATGATGGAGGTACTAGCTTTTAAAGTGCTTTCTAATTAGCTTATGAAAAACTTCAAGCTGTAAGAAACTTTGATTAATTCAATAAGTAAATATTTAATTAAATCTAGACATATCATATTTTTTTATACTGATGGTGAAGATTCATATCCTACTTAGGCATTGGAGTAGTTTGCAAGAATGTCAAATTCATAGAGAATGAAAATAGATTTGATTGCTTGTTGTCTTGATAAATAATAAAAGACAATGATTGACATTACTGATTTCTTTAACAGAAATTGCTCCCTTGGAAAATTGCAAGATTCAATGTAACCTTCAGAAATAGGAGAAGCTTGGACTAAGTAAATAAGAACAATTATAGTATGAGAGAGTATTATCAATAATATATATAAACATATAATATTTATAAATTGTAATGAATAAACACTTCAGAAAAAATATAAATTTAAACTTACTAAATTTTTAGAATTTCTTTAAAAAACAAACTGCTTTTTACTATTTTTACTTTTGTTCTTCTTTTTTTTATTTTATTTACTATTTCACAATTTGAATGTTATATAAAGATCTAATTGTATATTCAAGTTTAATATAATATAAAAAGCATTACAATTATATACATAACAACTTAATTAATATAGTCTATACAATTTATTTATTAATGGAATAACAAGATATTTAAATAAAGTCATAATGTTAAATTAAATGTAAATAATTACTTTGTTTAACCCAAATCTCTAGTTCAAAGTATTCTTCATAGACAATATATCAAAAGAAATAAATAAAAATAATAAGGAAGCAAGTTTTATAATATATAATTGCAAGCATGTAAAGAAAAGAAAATTAACATAATTTCATTAATTAGTAATTTGCTTAAGACTTAATAGCAATTCAATAAAACAAAATATAAGTATAATTAAAATAAAATAAATGAAAATCAATTAAATAAACAAAAATTAGAATATAAAAATATTGAATTAAAAATAATGAACAATTAGAAAATGTTTAGTATGGTGACATATTCATATGTTTTTGATTAGATGGTTTAGTAAAGAATAATGAAAAGTCAATTAAGGCTACAATTTCACGTTTCTTCAAATACTTTTAAATTAATTGTAAATAAGATACAATAAGGAAAATGGGGACGATTGTAATATAGTATATCAATATAAGTTGTATTTAATTATTATCAATATGAATTCCTAAAATAATTGTCTTTTTAACACTATTTATGATTAATATTATGTAGATCCTAAATTAAACTTAATGATGAATCCTTAAAAGACAATAATTATTTTTTATTTACAACTCAACATCTTTAAAATGTTTCCTTTTGCTTATATTCCTTAAGACTCATAAAGTACAAAAATACTATACATTTTTAGGTTCTTTCAACTTTTGTCAACCTTCATATACATATCAATGGTATAATCCATATTATTAATATGGAAACTTCATCCCCAATTATCTATCTGATTTTTAAAGAATAAACTGCTACTATCAATAGCCATAGATTCACAACCAACTAAGCATAAATTAAATGACACAAATTTAGGAAAAATGCTCAGAAACGTTACACAGATCCTTATAAAATGAACAAATTGAAACACCAACTACATTTGACAACCATTAATTTGCCATTTCTAAAAAACCAGAAACAATAATTATTTTGAACAAAAAGAAAAAGAAAAAATCTAAAAAAAGCAAAAGTTTTAAAAAAGGTACTCCATTTATTATATTTATTAAGGTCATTGGACGAATAAAGAGCATAGACTATATGAATAGTTTATATTGAATCATAAAGATATTATGTCAGATTCAGATTAGAAGAAAATGAAACAAATATTTAAGAAAATGTCTGATTTCATAAAATCTAGATCTGCGAGTCAATGTCGATCTCATCATTAGAAATTCGATCCTAAAAAGCAATAAATTATAGTTGCTGGAAAGAATTCAAATTAATTTAAGATTGCTAACGAATGATATAAAAACGATGATATATAAAAAATTTAAAAATATTTCTATCCAATCGTCCATAATTACCTGTTAGATAAATATGAAGACAAATTATTTCCAATTGATAAATATTTTATATAAAAAATATATTGCAATGTTGATTGATATAAATTATATATGTAAATATATTAAATTGTAAATATCAATATGAATAATTCTAATGACAGATAGCATTTATTCTAATGGATAATTATTTAATTTTGTATACACTGAATATACAGCAAGTGTCAAGTTTGTCATATTAGCAATAGTAATTAGGAATTATCTATATTAGATTGAATTTTTGTATAAACATTTTGGATTAGATTATACAAATTTCTTAAGTAGAATTAACACAATTAATATTTTTATTTTCTTCTGATGAACTAAGATGTAAAATTGCCAAAATCAATATTGCGAGTTGGAAATTTGTTAAGCTATTCTTATTGATAATGTTAATCACAAAAATATCAGTTACATAAGTTTGAATTAACTAATTGAGTAGATCATCATAGGAACTATTTGAATTAGCAAAACATGAATAGAAAAAAAATATTAGAGTTAGAATTACAAATTCATCAGATCTATATTTTAAAGTAGATAGAGATATGAAATAAAATTATTAGATGATAAAATAGTATGTAATAGCTATTTGTTATTGATCTTCTCTAATACCAATATGATTTATTAGTAAAGAATAAAAAATATAAGGAGAACAATAAAATTGGTTAGGTATTCGACATAGAAGTTGAAATTTTATCTAAAATTTCTTTAAATAGGGTTAAAAATCTATTAAGATAATGATATGAAGGTTATTTGGAGAACCAAATATGATCGATGGAAATACTACAAAAGTGAAAAAAAAAATTTAAGGTTATTCCTTACTACATTTGTACTAAAAAAACCTAAAATAAAATAATAATGTTGAGTTATTAAGAAAGAGTATAATAATAATAGTTAAAGATGACTAAAAATTCATATTATGTTAGTTAGTTTTATTTTGTTTTTTTATAAATATATTACGAAATTTCTAAATTTATCATCTACATAAACTAATAAATGTAACATTTTGAATTCTTATTACGAAATAAAAATTTGAGACATCTAAATTGAAGAATTCTTACAGTAATTAATAAAAAGTAAAATAATTATTTAGTTTTCTAGATAAGACATATTTTATTTTTGAGATTTTTATAATTTTTTGTGAATTTATGCAGAATATTTTTTATTGTGTAAGTCTTGATTGAGTAATCATATGAAATGTTATAGAAATGAATTATAAACTAATAAGATATTAAATGACTTTTGAATTGATAATTAAAGGATGATGATTCTTAATATAAGATTCTATAGGGATGTAAATTTGATACAAATTAAATGTTTCTAAGATGTTGAGAAATTAAAACTTATTTATTAAATTATTATTATAGTGTCAGTATTATAGATTAATGACTGAATAAAAAGTAATTTCTATCTTTGATTTTGGAAAAACCAGGAATAAATTTTGGTAAACTTGTGATAAATCTGTGTTGGATGTAACTAATATCATTTAATATCAAGTCCCAAACATTTTTAATTGAATAAGAATTTTTGACTGCAGGCAAGGCTATTGTCAAACCCATCTTTATTGTACTTGGATTAGAATACATATATAAAGTAACTGTTGATAAATTAAAATGTGCACCTCTTATTACTACACATTTGACTTACATTGAACCAGGATCTGATCATTTAGTTTAATTAAATTCTGATGAACAACAGTATGGATTCAGATTGCAATATTAAACTAAAACTCTAGAGATTTTTCTATCTGACAAGTCTCTTTATGATTAATGGAGAATCCATCTTAGAAAAGCTTGTTTATTAGAGAATTTCCATGATGCTTATATGGTTTCTAAATTAATTGGAAAGGGAAGTTTTGCAAAAGTTTATCTTGCCACCAGAAAAGAGAATAATATTTAATATGCTATAAAGGCTTTTAGCAAAACTTTTATGTTACAATAACACAAAGGAATTGAAAGTCTTTTAAATGAAATGAAAGTGATGAGAAAATTTAATCATCCAAATATACTTAAATTACATGAAGTACATGAAACAGCCAATTCTGTTTATTTTGTAGTTGATATTATAGCAGGAGGAGAATTACTTTAAAGAGTGAGAGAAACAGGTATTATTATATATTAATATTTTATAGGATTTTTACCTGCTGAAACATTATAGAGATTAGCTTATAACTTATTATCAGCATTAAATCATATGCATTAATTTAATATAGCTCATAGAGATCTTAAACCTGAAAATCTATTATTGAAATCTTATGAAAATAATTATGATATTGTATTAGCTGATTTTGGATTGGCAGCATTATTATAAGATAATAATATTTTATTTAAAAGATGTGGTACTCCTGGATTTGTTGCTCCTGAAATATTAGATTATATTGATGGATAATAAATTTATGATGAAAAATGTGATGTTTTTAGTGCTGGAATCATCTTGTATATTTTAATAGTAAATTATTTATTAATATTAGACTGGTGATTAACCATTTACAGGTAAAGATTAAAAAGCTATTTTAAAAGCCAATAAAGATTGTATTATTAATTTTGATGATTCCTTATTTAAATCTGCACCAATATAAATGTAGGATTTAATACGATCAATGTTGTTGAAAAAGAATTAGGATAGATTGAGTTCAACTGAAGTAAAAATTAAGAAATATTATATAAGTGTTTAAGACATCCATATTTTAAAGAATTAGCTAAAGAACAATAAGTAAAATAAGAAAAATATTAACAAAATTTGAATGATTATAATTAGTATTACAAGAATAATGTGAAAATGGGATCAATAGATCTCAATTTAGAATAAAGATAACCAGCTTTTACAGGAAATTTAAATTCTATTGAATCAATCTCATGTGTTTCTAATAATTCATTTGCAAAAATTGAAATGAAACCTCCTTCTGTAATTGGTGCATCAAAATTTAGTTAATATAGTTGTAAATTGAATAGATTAGGTTCTAGAGATATATCTGGTAATTAATTTTATTTAATTTATTAGATATACCAACAACATAATTACAGAAAACAGAATCTAAAAAGCATATTGATTTACATAGAATTGCTATTCAAAATTCACATAGAAAATAGATTTAAGATTAATTTGAGGATTAGCCTATATAAAATGAAGGGTCAGGAATAAAAGAAATGGCAAGAATGTACAATTCAACAAGACAAATTCGAATTCCTGAAAATTTATAAACTGTTTCCTAAACTAGTAAATTAGCATCTACTCCAACTAATAGAAACAAAAAGATTTCTTGAATGTTTTTTTTTCATTCAAATTGTTATTTAATTCATACATTCTATAAGTCATTCTTAGTTAAATTGTATTATTTTTTGATTTATTTCCAACTACCATTATTAATAAGATTAATTCTATATCAATTAAATTCATTTATGTATATTATCTATTTAATGAAAAAAAATACAACTTTATAATTTTATAATACACTAAATAATTAAAGTAAGAATGATAAAATATGAAAATTAATTTTATAATTATTTATAAAATAAGGAAGGAACACTTTCAAAGCAAAAACAATTTGTTAATATCTAAATCTCTTATTCAAGCACTAATTTAGATTCTAAAAATCTCTCTTTCTGATTTATTGATCAATCATTCATCTTTAATTAATATCTAAATCGCTTGAGATTATCTCTTATAAAATATCGATTATTTATCTTAAAATATATATTTAGAAAGAGTAAATAAATGGAATTATGGATATCATCATTTATATAATATAACATAATAAGTAATTTGTATAAAAAGAATCCCTTTTTCAATAAATAGACAATATAAAACAAAATAAAAATAAAAATTTACATATTTTCATAAAAGTATATATTTTTATATTCGAAATTATCTTATACTTTAAATTAATTAATTAAATTCAAAAGTTTTCCAATATTTAACTAATTTTATCTTCATCATAACCTGCATTTTTTGCATACAAATACCATTACTTAGATTCTTCCTTTCGATTTAAATAAAATAGTGCATCAGCTAAAGTAGCAAATATTTGATACCTTTATTCTTCATATAAAAAGCATTTTTCAGGATAGTTAAAGCCTAATTATAGCATTCTAAAGCTTCATAACACCGATTTGAATGAAATAATGCATTACCTAAATTTCATATAAAGAATTCTTTTACCTTTATTATTTAATGCATCACTATAATCTGGATTGATTTCAATTGCTTTGTCATAACATTTAATTGCATCATAATACTTTTCTAATTAACTTAACACATTTCCTAAGATAATGTGTAGATATATATTTACCTTTATTATAAAATGAATGGCTATCAGTTAAATCTATCTTAATGGCTTCATCATAGCATTAAATTGCATATGAATAATGCCTTAGATTGAATAATGCATTGCCTATATTTAATGTAAATCAAATACCCTTATTATATTAAAATTCATTATAATTTGGATTGATTCTAATCGCCTTATTAAAATTTTATATGGCTTCTTCATAATTGTTCAATTGTATTTATGCAACTCCTAAGTTAAAATTGAAATTTAATAACTAATTTACCATAATTATTATATGCCAAGCTGTTATTTGGATTGATTTTTATAGCTTTATAATAGAAGTTTAATGCTTCTTAATAAAAATTCAAGTTGATTAATGTATTTCCTAATTTACATGGTTACAAAAACTTATTTACCCTTATTATAAAATGCGTTGCTGTCTTTTGAATTTACTCTAATTGCATGATCAGAGAATAATATATTATAATTTTGATTTTTTTTAAATGGCTAATCACAAAATCTTTTTGCATGTTAAATACGATTCAATTTTCTTAAATTATTTCCTAAATTATAAAATTAATATACCCTTATTTTAAATTTAGTCGCCCCGTCTTCTATTAACCTTAATGACTTGATCATAATTTTCTATAGAATTTTAATTATGCTTCAAGTTTCTTATCGCAATACCTAAGTAAAATTAATTTAAAGAATTCAATACTCCTATTATAGATTGCATCATTATCATTTGAATTAATATTAATTGCCTAATCATAGCATTATATTGCTTCTTTATAACGTTACAAGTTGAATAATGCAATACCTATCAATATATATTATTGAAATTGTTTACCCTTATTATAAAATGCATCACTATCTTATGAATTAATATCAATTGCTTGGTCATAACATACAATTGCATTTTCAGAGCGATTCAACGTTAATAATGTATTACCTAAATTAAAAAAGATAAAAAATAACTAAATACCCTTATTATAAAATGCATCACTATCATATGGATTAATATCAATTGCTTGGTCATATTATTTAATGGCTTCTTCATAACGATCCAAATTGAATAATGCATTGCCTAATTAAAGAATTATATTTACCCTTATTATAAAATGCTGTATTATAATCTGGATCGACTTTAATGGATTAATCATAACAATTTATAGCATCGTTATAACGATCCAATTTACTTAAAGCCATGCCTACAACTCATATTATTATTTTACCCTTTAAGTTATACACCTTACAATCATATATTTATGAATTATCAAACAAGTTTATAATCTCTTCATACAAACCTTTATCAAATAATTCATTTCCTAATAATTTATGATATTTAAATAATTACCTTATTCAAATAACTTTTCTTTCAATTCATTTTATGAATTTTCTTATTCTTTAAAAGCTTTCATTAACTTTTCCAGTTCAATTAGGAATGATCCCTGATATTTAATTGGTAATTTAAATTCTTTCTTTTCTTTCTCAATTGAGAAGAGGTCCTTAATAAATAGTATTTATTATTTTAAAGAATAATATTATTAGTTTTTCAATTGTTGATCTATTTCTTTTAATATAAAAATATCTGATTGAAACTTTTTGGATATAGTATTGAGTGTTTGCATAAATTGTTCCTTAATATTATTAGAAATGGTAGATTGCTCATCTTAAGATTGAATTAATTGATCAATCAACTTTTACAATTCCTAAAATCCTATGCAATCATCGTGATGATCTTAATGAAATGTTTTCAAACATTATAAACAAAATTAAGAAGGTTTTGAGCAATTCTTATTCATACAAAATCCTATTATTGATTCATTTTCATGTGTTTCAAAACGACACTTAAATTCTGCTTCCATATTTTAATTAATAATCAAATAAAATATTTACAAATACTTTAGAATCTAAATTTTAGATATTTAGAGATTGTACATTAATTAATCAAATTTTTTAAAATTAATCATAGAATTTAAAATCCTTGTTATAATCAACTAAAACATCTTGGATACTCTTGAATTTTTTTAAAATAAAAATTGCACATTAATTAAGATTTAAAAAAAAAAATAAAAATTGCGCATTAAATAAGCATTGTCATAAATGTTTAATTGATGAAGACATAAGTTTTGATTATTAATAATATTTCCACTCTAAAATATGTTTTAGACGACATAATATATGGGAATTCTTAATTTAGTTTCTTTTTGAGTCATAAAAAAATATTTATAAAAATTTTTCACTTCCATGCTAATATTTAAGAAAGTTTCATAAGTTTATTTAAATGTTCATAACTATTAACTATTTGGATGAGCAAGACAAACTTATAACTAAAATATTTATTATTATGAATTCTATTAAATTTACATATTTATTTATTGAAAAACAGGCATACAAATATAATCATATCTAAAGTTATCTTCACAAAAGTTCAATAACTATTTTAGATGCCTAATTATTATTACTAAAACTTAAATTTATTTATATTCAATGTAAATTTTAAAAAGATTCTATTTTCCATGAAATAATGGAAATGTTTAAAATCGTAATAATAGTTTCTTTCATTTTGTACTGCAAAAGAATAGACAACAGAAAGAATTAATTTTTTCCAATGTGCGTCTTGATGATAAAATCAAAAATAATCATTATTTTACAAATCTAAGGATAACCTTATAAATCATTTGTAGTATAAATTAAACTTCCATTTTATGATAAATAATTAAATTTAATATATGCATGAGGCTAGTAAAATATAACCAACGACTTTAGACACTATTACAAACACAATTATCATATTTTTCAGGATAAAATATGTATGATGAAAATATTTCTGGAAATTTGAATTGTAATTTATCAAGTTTTTCAATAAAATGCTAACAAGTATAAAATAATTAATTCAGTTTTTGCTAAATAATAAGTTTTTTTATTATTTTTAAACACCCTAATTGTTAAGAATATCAGGTTGGATTAATTTAATCTTCATTTGATAAACCACTATTCAAAGATGGTATAATTTCTTATTATTATTAATCTGATCCCTCTAGCATTACTGATAATGTCATATAATTCTTGAATGTCTATCTAATACTAAAGATTTGATCATTATTTTATATACAGATAACGGAGGATATATATATAAAATAGAAGATTTATATGATAATTATTCGTTCATCTGAAAATCATAATTAAATAGTTGTCTTATTTATTGTGATATAGGAAATATAAAAATATAGTAGGTAAGAGATAGGAACTATATTGAGGAAATTAAAAAAAAGATAATAATAGTTTCTAATGTAATTTATTGATTTTATGATTAAAGATACAATAAAATTATTAATTTATGTTGAAAGTTATTTAAATTACAAGTTGCTAATTATAATTTTTTTAATTCAATTATTAATAAAAAAATCGAAACTCTTTTGTAATGCTAATTTTACAATGTATTTTAATAGGTTTTCTCAAATTTATGATTTATAATTTTGTGAATAAGTCTTGCTAATTTTACAATTTTTCAATTATCTAATCAATATTTTTCATCATCAAAGTCTTAATAATATTATTGAAATCCTAATGTTATTACATTTTAATACACTTTATAATTCAAGTAAATATAAATATGTTTATTTAATAATGCCTTCTCTATATAGATGGTAATTTTATTCACATTTCTACCACGAAAATGATGTAAATATCAAGATAAAATATACTCATTTTATGCAGAATATGTTGAATACTGGCAAAGTTGTTTTATATATAAATATTTAAATTTATATAAATAAACTCCTGAGTTGTTTTTATAGATTTATCCTTAATGTATTTTGTCTGAATCTTTTAAAGTAAAAAATAGACAATAAATTTATATGATATTTACACTAAAGATTAATCTAAACTCTAAATCATATTCATTTTTTTTATATGAAGATACATGTCTAGTAATTTCAGTTTAATTTTGTTTATAAAAAAAGAGAATTTTCGCTATATTTTTTGTAGAATTACAATTTTAATATTAGTATCTGGCTAAGTCATCATTATTTACATATAATTGTACAAAGTATTTGAAAAATATAAAAAAAATTTTGATTCAAAATTATATAAAAAAAATAGAATTTGACTTTGATGAAATAGCACTTTATAAATTTAATCATATTAATCAATTTAAAATAAGCAATCCAACTATAATCAAAGTAAATCCAAGAATATATCCAGAATCTGTATTGACTTAATTTCCACTGCTTGAATTGTTTTTCGAATTATTTACTTCTACTACAACTGTTCCACATTAAGTACATTTAGAGACTGCTGGATTCCATGAATAATGATATGCTGTCAAAGTGGAACAATCCCCTTCTTTTAATGTATCAACACTTGTAGCAGTGCAGACACCATTGATTAATGAACAAATGTTGTAATTCTTATAATCCCAAGTGTAGAAGTATCTACAGCTTAACTCTTAAGCAGAATATGAAACACAAGTATGATCAGCACAAACTTTTTTCTTAGTATCTATTTGACATCTATCATTAGCTTATGTACAAGCATTAGCATCAGTTCCTGCTGAAGCACAACTAGTCATTAATGAACATTTTCCTGTTTTAGTTTGTCCAGTGATAGTTTCAGTCCAAACACAAATACCATCAGATCCTTTGGAATTACAAGCAATATTTGTAATGTAGGATGAACAGTTGGCTTTGGGAATGCAATCAGTTCCATTTGAAACACAATTTGTTAATCCTTAACATGCTTAAATTGTTGTACCATTTGGAATATCAGAGCAAACCTTAGTTCTACAACTTCCTGAAGTATCTGTTGCTACCCAAAAGCAAGATCCTTCAGTACCACCTGCAACATTACAAGCTGCTTAAGTTGTATAACTTTTACAGGCTACTTTAACTAGACATTTAACTCCATCTGATGTGCATGTCTTCAATTTAGAGGAACATTCCTATTCAGTAGTGTAGGTTAGATCTGTACATTATTGATCTTTGCATTATTTTGCATTGTCATCCCAAACACAATTACCTGTAGATGTTATAAGTCCATTATCATCTTTTTATGCTCCATCCTTATTTAGGTTACATTAGTTTTAGGTATATGTTGAGCAAGCAGCTAATGGAATACATCCTTTTGAGTAATCTGAAGTGCATTTTGGATTTGCTAAATTACATTCACTATGAGTTAAGTAGTACGCATCAGCACATGAAGTAAACTTCTTACAAATTGTGTTTGTAGATTCTTTGGATGATATTGTTTAAATACATTCTCCATCTGTTCCTGTCTTACATCCTCCGTTAGTGTTTGTATCTGCACAAGATGTAATTCCAACGCATTCAGTACCATCAGTTGTACAATTAGGAGAGATCAATTTGCAGCTGCTATCCAAAGTCCAATCTAAACTCTTACATGATTCATAAGAGAAGCATGCTCCAAAAGTAAAATCAGCATTCATATATTTAGCAATCCATAAACATGGACCATCATTACCTTCAATACAAGCAGCCCTTACTTTGGTATCTTAGCAATTAGTCATTTAAGCGCATCTTCCATTTAATCCTGCAGTGCATCCTGCTCTTATTTTATTGCAATTAGAATGAGTGGTTCCAGCAAAATCTTTGCATTCTTTCAATCTACATCCATTTGTTTCGGTGTCCCATTAGCAATCATTTCCAAAATTGTCAGTTTTGCAAGCCTCAAAATTAGCAGTTGTACATGATCCTTTAATTGTACAGCCTCCATCTTTCTTTGTTGTACAGGTTCCTACTGAAGGTGTGAAATAGGAAATACATTAAGCTTCAGTTGTTAATGTTGTAGGAGCAGTTGCGCAAGTCTTGTTTGTACAATAAGCTGTTTATCCTTTAGGTGCCATCCATTAACATGGTTAATTTTTAGAATCTGTCACACATCCAGCTTCAGTTAATGCTTAATTACAAGTTCCTCTTAGAACACAATTAAATCCATTTGATGTACAAGTAGAGAGTGCTGCTTTACATAAAGCATCAGTTGTTAATGTAAAATCTTCACATATTTTAGTCATACATTTATTAGTACTTATTGTGCAACCAGATAAATAATTCTCACATTCTAATTCGGATCCATATTTTGGAGAATTTTCACATCTCTTTGTTATACATTTACCCTCATCATCTGTTATATCCCAATAGCATTTTCTTGAAGATTTATCTACTGATCCTTCATAACATTGATTTTTTGTCATTCCTTCACAATAATCAGGTATTTCAACACAACCATTATCTGTTGCATTAACAGTACAACCAGGGAGATAATCATTACATAAAGTTGGAGTGTTAACAGTTTCCTAAGCTGTTAAGCAATTCTTATTTACACAAGTAGATCCATTCCATCCACATTCAATGTTTGCACCTGTCCCATCTTTATCACTACTTATTTTACATTATTCTTTATGAGTATATAAACTGCATGTTTTATAAGAAATACATCCTTAAAGTGTTGGTGTTCCATTGACATCAACAACATCCACTGTACATCCTAATAGATATCCTTGACATCCATCATGATCATTATATGATGTATTTGAAGCAGTGGCACAAGATTTATCAGCACAAATTGCTGGATTAGGATTTGTATTCCAAACACAATCTTCTTCTTTTGTATTTTTCTTGCATTATTCTTAAATTGTATAAGAACTACAAGCAGTAAATGCAATACATCCTTATCCAACTGTTTTTTCTGCAGTTGCTTTGACTGTACATTTTCCAGCAGTTAAACATTCTACATGAGAATCGAAACTAGTTGATGATTCAGCTGCACTACAACTTTTATCAACGCATTTAGCTTTTGAAGGGTTCCACAAACATTCATTTCCATGAGCATCTTTAACACAGGCATTTCGAATAGTATATGAAGCACATGTATCCCTAAATTAACATCCTCCTACTCTAACAACACAATTTGTTGAATATGATTAACATCCAGCTAGATTAGTAGCTGTAACAGGAGCTAAATCACAAGTCTTTTAAACACATTTATTTCCAGATAATTAACATTCTCCTTCAGTAAATGAATGTCCACAATCTCCAAGAAGGTCATATTCTTAGCAAGTATCCAAACCAAAAATACAAGCCGTTTTATTTGAATTAACTGAACACATTCTGTGGAAGCCTATGCAAGCTTCATATGTAAATGGACCAGGGTGATCGATACAATTTGAAGATGAATTAGTTGGAGATTTGGTTTCACACCCACTACCATCAGATTTGGCTTGGCATTAATAGAAATAACAAATAGCATCAGTATATTTAATTTCTATTCCTCCTGCTTTGAAGACTTTTACAGTTTCACAATTAGATATATAAGGTTCACAACCTGTTCCAGCAGCATTAACAACACATTTCTGCTAATTAAGTTATGGTGTAGAAACACAATCAACCCAAGGAGATTAATATTCAGAACAATTCATTTTCATCTTAACACAAGTGGTCTATTCTGAATTAGATGAGCACATATTTCCAAAACTAATTCCTTTACAATAAGCTGTTGTCAATCCTTTTCCTGTTATTGAACCACAGTTATCTTAACCGACAACTGATATACCAAATGCATATATGCAAGCATTTCCATTTAAATAGCAAATTCCTTCATCTGCATGTGTACAATTGGCTTAGGCTGTTTCTGCACAAGTTGGTGCAGTCATTACACACCCAGTACCATCTCTTTTGATTGTACATTGAGCACTAAATGCTTAGCAAGCGTCATAATTAAATGGACCTTTGAAACCTTCACAATTTGGAACACATTTGTTTCCACTAGTCCATGTACATATAGATTTCTTACTCTAGCAAACTGCAGCACTAGATCCAACAATATCAGTGCATTTCGTTGAATCAACGATCATTACACAAGCTGCTCCATTCCAATAACAGTTCCCTTAATTAGGAGCCCATGAGCATACATCATTTGATAAATAATCCCCACAATTTTATAATTAAGCAACACAAGCTGTACCAGCTGCATTTACAGAGCAAGTATTACTCATAAAATAGCAATAACTTAATAAAAGTCCTGTTCCAGTGATTTTTGTGCAATCAAATGAATCTGCATTAGCACATGCTTATGTAGAACTATTCCATTGGCATTATTACTTTTTACTTATAGTATGTTATTCACATGCAGCTTGATTTTTAATATCTTCACAAGTACTTAATTTTAAAGAACATTTCATTTATGTTAAAGTACATTTTTTAGAATATGTTTAACATTTCTCATCACTATCATAATTAAGGGAATCTTCTGTATTTGTGCATGGTTTATCTTTACATGTTCCATCCCAAACACAGATATTTTCATTTAGATCAAATTTACATTGATCAGAAATTTAATATTCATTACATAAGACTAAATCTTAACATTTATTTTAAGCACCATTTACTGTACATTTAGAATTGGCTATTTAACAATTATCATGAGTATAAGTATCTAATGTTATATTTGCACAAACTTAATCAAAACAAGTTGCAGATTTTATATCCCAATAACAATTTTTGGTAGAATTTTCATTAATTTATATCACATTTAATTATTTACAAGCTGTCTCAGCTAATCCATTACAAATCTTAGGTCTTGGAATACATTTATCATTATTAGTATTAATCACACATTTCAAACCTTCATAACTCCAACAGCCAACTTAAGATACATTACCTTTTAAAGTTACAAGATGTGCATTTTCACATTTTATATCTATACAAACTGGATTTGTTGAATCAGTTTTATTATCCCATTAACATTTAAAAGGAGATATAGATCTAGCTTATTCAATTTCACAATTATCTTGTAACCTTCTTGCAGAACAACTGGCAGGAAGATCAATACATCCAGCTTAATCATTATCAACAACACATCCTGTTCTATAAGTATTACATCCACTACTTGTACTATAAATAGCAGATGGGGCAGTTTAACAAGTTTAATCTACACAATTATTTCCAATCCATCCACATTTTCCACCTCCATATGTAATTTAACAACCTTCTGCTAATCTAATAGCTTCACATTTTATAGGTAAATCCATGCATCCTTATCCAGAATTATCTAATGTGCATGTCTATAAATAATTTCTGCATTATTAATAAGTTGTATATATTTTAGATGCTAAGGCACACTATTTTTAATAGCATCTACTTTTGTAAATACATGGTTTGTTAAGATAATCAATATCACAATTTGTTTCTTCCTAAACATTTTCACATGTCTTATCAACACATCTTTACCCACTACCTACAGTGCAGGTATTTAAAAAAGAATTACATAATGAATGATTATTATTAGAAGTTGGTGCATTTGTACATATTTTAGTCTAACACTTTCCAACATTCCAAAAGCAAATGTTGCCCTTTACATCTGTTGTGCAAACTTCTTCCAAATTAATAGCTTCGCATGTTGTATTAGTTCTACATCCTCCTCCTACTTAAGTCACACAATTTTATTTTGGAAGATAAGCTTCACATTATTCATTAGTAGTATTTGTATTTGGAGCATTAGAGCATGATCTATCTTAACATCCAGAAGCAGATCCAGATTTTGCTGTGCATGAAGCCATAAATGTAGAACATTATTCATGTCCAACAAATAAAATACCAGCATTGTCACAAGTCTTATTTTTGCAAGCTACTCCATCCCAATGGCATAGGGTTCCAGTTAATGTTGTATCACAAGCTTCTTAAATTTTTGCAGCACTACAACCAGTATTATCTATGCACCCATTTCCTGTAGTAATACATTTTTTCAAATATGCTTAGCATTTTAAATTAGTTTTATATATAGACAAAGCATTTGCACATGTTTTATCAACACATTCTGTGCCATTCCAAAAACAATCTTCTCCCAAACTATTTTTCATACAAGCAGCTTAGATAGCAGCTCCACAATTAGATCTTGTAACACAACCTCCCCCTTATTTAGTGGTACAGGTTGAAATAAAATCTTTGCATGCATAATCTGTAATCAGATCACTTGGAGCATTATCACAAGTCTTATCTAAACACTTTCCTTCATTCCAAAAGCATGCTCCTCCTGACTAATCTTAAACACAACCTATTTCAGATACTTAATCATCACATTTAGCTCCTGATTCTACACATCCTCCACCTTCTTTAGCTGTACATTTATAAAGCTAAGCTCTGCAGAGTTAATCAGATATTAATGTAATTGGTAATTTATGACAATCATCAGCATCTTCACATTTTGGATTTTTTACATCTGATGTGTTCCAGTAACAATATCTATCTAGATTATTAATAACACATGATTTTGAAAACAAATAAGTAGAACATGCTGCTTTCTCTACACAACGTACTCCGTCAGTAATACATCTAGTTGAGACTACTGAACATTTAGAATCATCATTATAAACAAACGGAGTGCATCCAGTGAAATGAGTACAAACCTTACCATCCCATGCACAAGGATTCTTCTTTGGGCATTCATCTGCTGTATTGAATTGATCACAATAAGTAACAAAATTTGTTGTATCTATTGTTGGTGTTTCTGTCTTAGTGCATTTTTATTTAATTTTGTCCCATTGACATCCAGTTATTTTTCCACAATCAGACTCAATAAGCATTTATGTACATACACATGAAGTTGCAATTGAAATTTTTTAGCCATCTGTAAATATTAGCAAAAAAGCTATCAAAAAAATTTTATTGCTCATAATATTTTAATTTTATTATTAATATTAAAAAGAAGCAAAAAGAAGCATTAGAATATATGACGATGTAATTTTTTTTTTTTTTTAATTAGCATCTTAATTTTGATATATTTTTGATTCTAATTTGATAAAGATTTTGATGTGAATTTCAATAAGGAAAGTTAACAAAGAGAGAGGCAGTTGCCCAACTAAAAATGAATCAAGACATAAAAAGTTTAAATCTTATATTACATTTTGGTATTGTTATTTTTGACTTTGAGCTTTCCAATCAAGAAATTCAAAATAGACTTGAAAAACTGTGAAATCACTTTGGCTAATAGTCTATACTAATATTTTTCTATTTATTTGACAATCTAGCATGAATTAAGTTAGTGTTGTCGATGAACAATGTTCATTATTTATTTTATCGTATAAAAATTTTTATTGGATGGTGCCATATGAAGCAATAAATTTTGATTTAATTTTTTAAGACTAGCATTATGCATTCAAGTTTTAAAGGGAATTAGGTTTTATGTTTATTGTTGTTAATTTTTTGGATAACTTGTTTTCATCCATGTCAAGATTATTCGAATTTTTAAGAAATAACTAAATTAATTAGTATTACAGATGCCTCTTTACCAATTATTTAATCATCAAAAGTGTTTAGAAGGCTTTGCAAGACTTTTTAAACATTTTTTAGGTGAAAAAAAAATAAAGACATGAAAAACGAAGATATCAAAGAATATTCAAATGGAAAAATATTTACCAAATATTTTTAATTATGGTTATTGTAAATATAAAGTATACAAGTGATAAATAAAGAAAATATTTTTATTCAAAAAAAAGTATTAGAAACTCCAAAATTAAGTAAATAATCATATTTATTAAATTGATTTAATCACTTATGCTCAAACTATTATAATTGAGATGATGAGAATGAAATCAAAAATTAAAAAACAAAAATTTCAATTATTGTATCGCAACTAAAGAGAATATGATTAATATATATTAGTTTATGAAATATCTAAGGCTTTTAGGACTATATGATGATTAATTGTTTAATAAGTAATAATTAATTTCCAAGGGGGAAAATCTGTTTATTTAAATATAAATTCTTAATTTTAATATTTTTTATATAACAGACTTTGTTATTTTTTAATTTAATTATTAAAGAATATTATTATTCTTAATATAATCAATATATTAATATATTTATTTAGAGAAGGATTAAGAAGTCTAAGTAAAGTAATTTAAACTTCATTAAAAAGACAAGCATGAAAATAAAGATATGTATTGTTCAAAAACAATACCATAAATATTGCAATTACTTTTAACATTCAATAGAAGATAATTGTTGCCTGATGAAAAAACCAATCCAAACATAATTCAATAATATGAAAGAGCCTCATATACTATTATCAAATTAAAAAATAACTACTTAGTATTGTCTAAAATTCCCAAATTTTACAAAGTCAAATAACATGTGATTTAATATTTGTTTTTTTCCGATTGGATTGTCTTAAAATAAAATAATCCAAATATAAAAACCTAAATTTTTATGTACAAACTTATTTTCTGACAAAATAACTCTTAGAGCATTCATGAATAAACAGAAAAATTCATTTTCTTAGTCTCCTAAATAAAAAGCATGAATTTTCCATAAAATAATGGAAATATCAGAATTCTTCATAGTAATTTCTGTCATCTTATATATGCAAAAGAATAGACAAAAGAAAGAATTAAGTTTTTAGACTATATGTGTCTTGATTATTAGATCAAAAAACAATCATTATTATAGAAATTCTATCACCAAGAACTTCAGACATCATTAAATATAAACAAAAGGCAAAATTATTATATTTATTCTAATCAATTTGATTAGAATCAAATTAATAGATGTTATTCTCTTTCTATGAACTTTTTTTTAATATTGAACTCAAATATTAAAGATCTCAAATGGCTAAATTGTAGAATGCTATAATTTTTTATCTGTTTAAAACTTTTAAACCTAAAACTAAGCTGTTATGTTAATAGGAAATAGATTTACCCTTTTTTTCCTAATTATAATGAATTTATTTTATGAATAAAAATTCTTGATTATCTTAAAATTCATTAGCATTAAAAAAATAAAGAGGTGTGATGGTTTGAGATTGTAATGTGATAATGTTGATATTACAGTTCATAAATTATTATTCAAGCTAATGAAATAATACCATCATCTCGTGGCTGTGAATTGGGGTCCATATATATTGAACTCTATTTGAAGTAGTTTTTGGGTGAAAAATTATTATGATCATATTAATATGATGCTATAGCTCGTTTAGATAATTAAAAGATTTTGAAATATTGAAAAGGAATTTAATTTTAATATCTTTAAGACATTCCATTATTTGTCTATATAATATTTGTTTCTATCTAATTAACATTCTAATTAGTAGTTGTAGATCTCTCTTCATTGTAAACCTTTCTTTGATTACTTTCAATTTATTTTTAATGATTCTTTTAAAAATTCTATAATAGGTTATGAAATAAAAATTATTAAAGTATTTAATTACAAATTGTAATAGTATATTATTGATTGATAAATTTAAGTTAAAATTTAACTATATCAAAATGCAAGATTCAGATAATTTATAGTTGAGTATTTAATTATGATATTTCACAATTTTGATTTAAAATATTATACAATATGAAAAATGGAATAATTTTAAAGAGTTATTTTTCAACCTAAAATTTAGTTTAAATAATATCATAAAGGAATTTTTTGCTAATGTCAAACTATGTCTCAGCTCAACTATGCCAACCATTTACACTTGCAATAAAAGTCAAAACTTAAAAGTAAAATACTCTTAAGTGTTTATGATGATCTGAAAGTAAATTTTTTAATTAATTTCATGATAAGATCATAAGCCTTATGCATAAAATAAAAACTTTTTTATTTAATTAAATAAATGATCCATTGAAATATTAATCCTCTAAGTGAACGAAAATCATATTAAGTTTCTTGGTATTTTACTTGTTATTCATTGAATCTAATTAATTCATTATTAAAATTTATCATCTATGATTAGCATGAACTTGAAAGTTTTATTCAAATTGTAAAATTAATATTTTTTTATCCGAATTAAGGCTTAATTATTTTATTTCTAATTTCTTCGGATTGATAATGAACATAATATCTACAAATTCTCATCAAAACAAAAATGAATATGATTTAAAAATATATTCATTATATTTAATTATTGATAGTAAAAAAATATTGAATATTCATATTAATAATAAATGATGGTTTTATTTATTAAATGATTTATCCTAATATTAAGAAGTCTATTTATTTATTAAAGTTAAAGTACAAATTAAGAATATATATTGTAATATATTCTTTTTAGATTAAATTGAAAGTTAATCATATTATACTTTTAATTTAAAAGTATTTAATGAAGTAAGAAAAAAATTGATTTTTGGTGTTGAATTAGATTAATCAATCTTAATTTTAATAATAATTAATTTAAGTTGGTTTATATTCAAAATATAAAATTTCATCAAATATTTTTAATTATGTTATTTGTTATAAGTTTATAAAAAAATAACAAATAAAAATAAAAATTTTATTTTATGGAATAAAAAATACTTTTTATTAAAATTGTCATATAGTCAAATTATTACAGAAGCCTTTTGAATGACAAAATTACATTTTAAAAATATCATAAAGTTAAACTAACATGAATTATTTTTGATTTAAAAATATTATATATTATGATTATTGCTTTGATGAAACAATTAAAAGATTATAGCAATTGATAGAAATTTAAAGGGAATATTTAATCATAAAAACAACAATGATTAATTAACTAAATAAGAAACCTTCTTTTTATTTTTTAATATTGAGAGTGAAACTAAATAATTTTATTAATACGCATTAAATATATAATAATATATAGATTTATAATAATATTTAGAACATAAAAATCTACATAGATCTCTAAGGGATAAATATTTTATTTTATTGATTATGGCTTTTGTTTCATATTAAACTACTTTAAAAAATCAGACATCCTTGTATAAGTTGATTATTTTTTGTTGGCCTCTGGTTGCAACAATTTAACATGTTAAATGTTAGGATTTAATATATACTACAGAATTTACATCTTCAGATGGTAAATATAAATTATGATACATAAGATTGGATGATATTTTAAGATTCAATAGAATTAAGTTCAGATGTGATTTTTGAATGTTCGGATAAAAATATTTTTGGTGGTATGACCAATATAGTGATTGCTAAAAACTTTTTTCTTCCTCCTCATTATTTGGTTGAGATGAGATTTTATGTTTATGAATTTTCTTTGCATGATATTTACTTAGTTATGTTCCTAGATGATTAAGAGTTATAATTTAATTATTAAAGGAATACTTTTTTTACATGCCATGATAGTAAATAAATGAATTAATACTTTATTTCGACCTCAAACTTTCATTTTAGTTCAACTCTTTTTATTTAAATTTTTCATCCTTTTTATTCAGATCCATCCGATTATTGGGGAATTACTAATTTTGAATTATTCATTCTTTAATGTCCTTCAAAATGTCATTCTTGTAATGAAGTTGGAATATGCGATGATTGGACTTTATTTAATAATATTTATGGATACAAAAACTAATAAGTTTTAGAAGGATGGTTTAAAAACAATGAATATTTTAATGGAAAGGCAAGCTGTGGAAGTAATATTTTATTTATTATAATTTAGGTTTACAATTTTAAGGGCCATATGCTAATTAAGATATAATTTAATATCATTCATTTATCCCAAATACTCATTCAAAAATCAGATTAAGATTCAAGCTAATTGTTGTTGGAGATTAATTGTTATATTATTAGAAAATATAATTAAATGATTAGGAAAATAATTCAGAAATTTTTAATTTTAATTTCTGGCCTGAAAATTTGATTTGTGGAGAATTTTAAATGATTTAAAATTTTGATGATTAATTTGAACATAATATTTCTGATCTATAGATATCAATATAAATATAATTTGACCATATACCTATTATTCCTCCTTATTTTGGAATCTTAGACTTTGAAATATTCAGTGATGCTCTAATAGTTGAGGATATAGATATTTGTAATGATTAGAACATTAATCCGTTTGATGGATGTTTTAATTTGCAATTTGATTGTTGTGAAGGCTGTAGTAATTGTGTAAATGGTCAGTGTGTAGAATGTGATATTCATTGGTTGTATGATCCTATAAATTATAATTGTTATAGTTACTGTGGTGATGGCATAATTGTTGGATTAGAGGAATGCGATGATTCCAATTCCATTCCTAATGATGGTTGTTATTAATGTCAATTCTCATGTCCTTTAAATTGTATTCAATGTTAGTATGGTTAATGTTAAATTTGTAATGCTTTATTTTAATTGATTAATAATAATTGCATCCTATATTACCCTAATAATTAGAGTGGTAATTTGATAAATTATTAAAATGTAAATATAATGACAGAAAGTTTACCTATTAATCCTCATTGCTTATTAAAATGCTTTGAGTTTTATTATTTATTGTGCATAACATCCTTGCCTGATTGGAATTTAATTAATTAATAATGTATTTATGAATGTGAAAATGAGGTAGTAGCAGATTTTAATGAATATTGTAGTGATGATAATAATGAAAATGAAGATTAGTGTCATAGTTGTAAATATTAATGTTAAGAGAATTGTATTGATTGTCTTGATGGTACATGTTTATAATCATACTTTGAAGAACTCAAAATTGAAACTTGTAAGTTTGGATTTTATTTGATTGATAATAAATGTTTGTCTATTTGTGGAGACTTAATTGTAGCTTCAGATGAAAAATGTGATGATTAAAATAAAGAACCTTTTGATGGATGTTTTAAATGTTTATACTCATGTCCACTTAACTGTTAAGGTTGTATTGATGGATAATGCATAAATTGTGAAAATGGTTATTTCTTGGAAAATAATAAATGTTAAGAACAGTGTGGGAATGGCATAAAGACTCAGAATGAAGAGTGTGATGATGGAAATTTATTTATAGAAGATGGATGCTCAGAAATATGTTAAATAGAAATCTTTTGGAAATGTATAAATGATTAAAAGGAAAGAAGTTGGTGTTTTCAAATTATTAATCCAACTGTAGAATTACAATTTTTGAATACCACTTTTAATAAATAATTTATCTTAATTACAAGTTCTCAATAAGTAAGATTAACTGATAACCATCACAACTTAACCTAAAACCTTAAAACTCAAATTATAAATGTTAGTCGCTCGGATTATATCATAACTTTTGATGTTGAAGCTGAACCAACTTTTGAAGAACCAAATGAAATTTAGTACTTATTTACTATTGAATATATAAAATAATTAGAAGTTGAACTAATTTTTCACATTTAATTTAATATTACATTGGTCAATAATTATGGTTTAGAAATATTGAAAAAAGAATATTCAATTAAATTGACTAATCCTATTGTGTTAAGCAAAGCTTAGAAGGATCTTTCAAAAAATACAGGTAAATTTAACATAATAATGTTAATAATACTTGGTATTTCAGGATTTATAATTTTATTATCTGGTAACCCATAGGATTGTTTTGAAGTACTTGATGCTTTATAATATTAATCATATCTCAGATTTATTAATATTGATTTTCCAGAAAATCTCTTTATATATTTTGAATCTTCAGAATTCATTTCAATTCAACCATTGTTAGTTAAATTTAATTTAGTTCATTTATTTTAATAAATATTTGGTTCAGAATTTTTAGAGTCATTTGGAAAGTTTTACTTTTACTAAATTAATGCAGATTTACTTATTAATTTACAAAGTTAAATTTGTTAAATTCTAGTTTTGATGATTCTATTTATCTTTTATATTCTTTATAAGAAGATATTTTCAAAGCAATTTTTCTCATCAAGACAATTAATTTAGATTTAAAGGAGAAATTCTCTAATTTTAAATAGAATTGTAATTTTTCTTTATTAAATAAACAAAATTATTTTAGGATTAGACAAAATATATACAAAAAAAGGATTGAAACTATTGTTTTTAGCAAATAGTTGGGATGTTCTTTTTAAAATAATCCTATTTCTTTATTCCAAACCCTAATATTCTTTAAGAACCTATCTTTCGAGCACATTTGGTATAATAATAATGATATCTCTTATTTTTGTTTCTCTATTTTGCATGTTTGGCACTTAATAGAATAAACTATTTAGGTTTTCAAAAATATGCAGAAATTAAGGCCTGATTGTTATTAAAAAAATTTTATTCCTTTTTTTTTTAATCAAGGCATAAGATAACTCAATTCTTCAATGCCTTTTATTAACTTTAATAAATTCATTTTACCTTGGTATAACTTTAATATCAAAGCTTATGAAAAATAAAGTTGATATAATAATAACCTTCTGGTTTGAATTACCAATAATAATCTTTACATTTTCTTGCCTTACTCATCATAATGACTTTGTTAAACATTTAACCAATGATTAATAAGTTTTTATAGGATTTTGTTAAATAGGGATTTTATGCTTTGGATTAATATCTCCATTAATTAAATATAGTTACATTCTCATCAAGAAAGGCATAGATTATGTAAAAAAGAGATAATAACTAATTATAGCATAAAAAGAAAAGAAAATTGTATTAGAATAAATGTTTTTTTGATTTATCAATTGAATAATTAAATATCTGAATGATTATAAGATGTATATTGATATATTTTATAATTTTTTTATGCCAAATTTAAACTTCTTACTCATAGACGAAATTCAAAATTACATAGCTCTTTCAAATACAACTTTAGGTGTGTATCCTCCTCAAATGTTAGCCTTAGCATAAAAAAACTCTTCTATTCAATTATAAGGTAGCTTTTGAGGATTAAAACTCAAAGTTGAATATAATCTTATGAAAAATAATAAAAATTATGATATTAATATAATATTATATTATCATTTCAGCTACATTTGGATTGATGAAACCATCTGAATATTAAAATATAATTTTTGGGAATTTATAGTTTTAAGTTTCTTAAGTGAAAATATCTGCTATTATGTTATGCTAATACATACGTCTTTGAAATTCTTTTATATCTTTTTGTCATCGTGACGATAAGTATGGCTTAGTAAATATTGTATTTTGTGATGAATATAGTGAAAATGATGTGAATTATTATAGGAAATTTATTACGAATACCACCTTTCTAATAGCTCAAAAGACATTTTGGCTGAAAAAAGAGTGTTTATTATTGATGATGATCATACTGCAATGAGTTCATTGGCAATTCAAAAAGACTCAGACTCATAACTGCGAATGGAAATTCAAACAAAGTTCTGATAAAAAATTTGGAAACTAATATGGATTCCTTTTTAGAAATGCATTAACGTAAAGCATTTTGAATGTATATACTATCATCATCATTCCTTTTAAAGCTGAAAACGGAAATAATTTAGCTGCCTATATTTTAGAAACAGTAGATTTTTTCATCTCCCCTCCATAAGATTATGCTATTTTGTATAATTGATTATCATTTTTGATATTCAAATTACTGATCAAAAAAACCTAATAAAATCAAGTAAATAACATAAAAATGTATTTTCGGCTTATCAATTCTTAAAATTAACAATAATATTGTGAAGGACAGATTTACTTTATGTTCATTTTTGCATTTGACAAAAATGAGAAAATGGTATTAAATTCGATCGAATAAGCACTTTGAAATTATTCTCAAATTATCATATAAAAGAATCAAAAACAGAAATTTATTGTAATACCATTTAAAACGGTTGAAGATTTTTTTTGATTATTATAATAAAAGATATTCATCTTTCAAAAATATCATCATAAATTGATCTTCTTGTTTTTGGATTAGGTTATTTATCTCCCAATAAACTTTGAAAAAATAACAATTTGCCATATTTGTTAGAGTCTTAAAATGTAAAGGAACAGAGGTAGAAAATAAAATTCAATATATAATTACCTGATTTTACATTAAGCCTTAAACTATAGAAAAAAACTCTCAGTAACTCGAAGCTTAAATAGAAAACTGAATTTGGAGAATCATTAAGAAAGTTTAAAACATTTTAGTATTACTTCTTTTTGCGAATTACTAATTTGATAATTAAATAAAGAATAGATTGTTTAAATTGAGAGTATTTCATCAAATTTTTTTTCAGAGTTTTAAAAATGGTGTAGTTGGTAAATGGGAAATATATGACACTTAAAACAATTATAAATATGGAGAGATAAATTATGACATAAGAAAAATTATTATAATGATAATAATTGAGATAAAATTTTGTCTGAAAATAATTTAATAAATTATTTTGTTTAAGTTTTTGGGTTTTAACATATTTTTAGGTATTGAATTTAAAATTAGATAGATAGATAAATAGATAATTCTGAATTTTTAAATAACTGCTTACATTACGTCATTAATTTAAAAATACTGATTATATATATTGGAAATTATTGTTGAAAATTGCCCCTTTGGATGAATGTAGGTTAATCAGTAAGTAAGATCTTGAGATGGATATTTCTTCTAATTTATCTTTCAGGATAATAGAAATTGAATTACTTTTCTTCTTGTTGATATCAATTGATAAAAATCAATCAAAGGTTATCATAATATTACCAAGAATAGAGGAGTTTTTTTTGTTTAAATCATTCAATCTATCGATTTTAACTTTTTATAATTTAAATTAATTCTAGGATTAACTTTATTTTTTTTAAATTCTTGATGTATCTTTGTTCTTATCTAAATCAATTAAGTAAATCTATCATATAATATCCTAGATGAATTATAAAGAATGTTGAGTTAAATTAGTTTTTTTAAGTAAATATATCTCACTTTATTTTAATCTTTTCATTTTGCTTACTGTTCTCTGTTTAGATTATTAATTTAAGGCAGTATCAATTAAAATTAAATTTCTTTAAATATTATTTGAAAACAGTTTTTATGATATCTCCTTGAATATTCCCAAAAACAAATAAGGTATATATAATTGAAATGGAATAAAACTTTAAAAAATAAGAACTTACCTAGAAGATGAAGAGTGGAACTAATAAAGACATAATTAATAAATATTATATACTAATTAAATTCTTATTTTAATTTTTGTTGATAAATTTCAACATCACTTTTACTACAATTATTCTAAAATGCTGCTTCCAGAGGATTTGAATAATGGTCTTAGATCGTATCCGTCATAATTTAGAAAATCTCCTTTAAAGATTAAAGCTCCTTATGCTTGAAATAATGGTGTTTAAGATATTCTTAGAATTGTAATATTGTTGGATTCTAAAAAACAATAAGAAAATAAATACCTGGTTTAGTATTATTTAAAAAAAGTGGTGCTTTATATTTAGCAAGAATATCTATATATTTTTTGTCAGCGGATGATATCTCATTTCCATTCTAAACGTCCCATAGACGAATAGACTCATCATCACTTCCAGAAGCTAATGTATTTCCATCAGGAGAGAAACAGACTGACATAATTAAATTACTATGACCATTTAATTAGGCTTTTTATTATCCTATTTTGACATCCCATAGACGGATAGACTTATCAGCGCTACCAGATGCTAATGTATTTCCATCAGGAGAGAAGCAGACTGATCTAACCTAATCACTATGACCATCTAATTTGGCTTTTTATTAACCTGTTTGGAGATCCCATAGACGGATAGAATCATCATCACTTCCAGAAGCTAATGTATTTCCATCAGAAGAGAAGCAGACTGATCTAACAAAATCACTATGACCATCCAATTTGGCTTTTTATTAACCTGTTTTGAGATCCCATAGACGGATAGAATCATCATCACTTCCAGAAGCTAATGTATTTCCATCAGGAGAGAAGCAGACTGATCTAACATAATCACTATGACCATCTAATTTGTATTTTTATTATCCTGTTTTGACATCCCATAGACAGATAGAGTTATCTTCACTACCAGATGCTAACGTATATCCATCAGGAGAGAAGCAGACTGAGAAGACATAACTAGTATGACCATCAAATTTGACTTTTTATTATCCTGTTTTGACATCCCAAAGACGGATAGACTTATCTTCACTACCTGATGCTAAAGTATTTCCATCAGGAGAGAAACAGACTGATCTAACATAATCACTGTGACCATCAAATTTGACTTTTTATTATCCTGTCTTGACATCCCAGAGACGGATAGACTTATCACCACTACCAGAAGCTAATTTATTTCCATCAGGAGAGAAACAGACTGAGTAGACATAACTAGTATGACCATCTAATTTGGATTTTTATTATCCTATTTTGGCATCCCATAGATAGATAGACTAATCACCACTACCAGATGCTAATTTATTTCCATCAGGAGAGAAACAAACTGAGTAGATATAACTAGTATGACCATCTAATTTTGCTTTTTATTATCCTATTTTGATATCCCAAAGACGGATAGACTTATCTTCACTACCAGATGCTAACGTATTTCCATCAGGAGAGAAACAGACTGAGTAGACATAATGAGTATGACCATCTAATTTGGATTTTTATTATCCTGTTTTGACATCCCATAGGCGGATAGACTTATCTTCACCACCAGATGCTAACGTATTTCCATCAGGAGAGAAACAGACTGAGTAGACATAACTATCATGACCATCTAATTTTGCTTTTTATTATCCTGTTTTGACATCCCAAAGACGGATAGACTTATCATCGCTACCAGAAGCTAATGTATTTTAATCAGGAGAGAAACAGACTGATCTAACATAATCACTATGACCATCAAATTTGACTTTTTATTATCCTGTTTTGACATCCCAAAGACGAATAGACTTATCACCACTACCAGAAGCTAATTTATCTCCATCATTAGAGAAACAAACTGAGTAGACAGTGCCAGTATGAGCATGTAATTCGGCTCTTTTCTTTCTTGTTTTAACATCCCATAATAAGACAGACCCATCATTACTACCAGATGCTAATGTATTACCATTAGGTGAAAAACAAACTGACCAAACAGTTCCTCTATGAACATCCAATTTGGTTTTATATTATCCTGTTTTGACATCTAGAAGATGGATAGATTGATCATTACTACCAAAGGCTAAGGTATTTCCATCAGGAGAGAAACAAACTGATTTAACACAATCACTATCTAATTGATATAATACAGGGATTTTTAAGTTTCTCCATTTACAATTAAATAATAATGCTCCATTTAGGTTTATTCCACTTATGTTGACATTATTAAATTAGGATTCACTAAAATTACACCTAGCAAAATTTCCTGCTTCTAGCGAGGTATTTTAGATCTTAATTTTTTCAAATTTTTAATTTCTTAGATCCTCCTTTGTCTTAACTAATATATGTAATGAATTAGACCCACATTAGATCAAAGTTTTATCTATGGATGTGATTTGAACTAAGAATAACAGAAATTCAATGATCCTTCTATTATCCTTGATGCTTTAAATTAGACTTAATGTTGATTCTTCATTTTCAAAAGAAGAAAAGTCAGAGTAATTGAAGTCATGATCTTTTATTTTTTTTAAGACATCTGTAATTTATTTCATCTCATTTCCAATAACAGCCAGTTTCTATTGTTTATCAACTTGGGTGATATTCTCTGCTTATTGTAAGATTTATGATTCTAAATGTTTTTGATTTCCATAATCAGAAAGATATCCAATGCAATCTTAAACTTACTCTTTTAGAAGTATTTCTATTAGGACACCAAAGAGTAGTTCATTTACATCCTTAACTTAACTAAGTATGTCAGCTATGGCTTCCTACCCTTAAAAAGAGCCTTACATTTTCTTTTGTATTTTTAATAATTAATTTCGATTACTCTAACTTTAAGTTATATTCTACAAAATCAATAAAAGTGTCTTGTGCAATTTTGTAAATAAGAAGTCCAGTCTTTGTGTAGATTCGGAATTGATTATAATTTAGAAAAAATACTGAGGATTCAATTCTAAATTTCATTCTTTAATAATATAGAATAACTTATTTATTGTTAATAATGTAAATGATATGCAATTACTAAATTTGGATGATCACATCTTAAAATTCAAAAAATGAATATTTGAACATTAGCTTTTGCGAAACTTATTATTCTTTATATCTAATTGGCTTTAACTTTTTATAGTTTAGATTAATTCTAGGATTGACTTTATTTTTATAATTCTTAAAAATATTCGTTATATATTATATCTTTTACTATTTATAAAGTAAAAATCTAAATTTAAGAAACTATTAATGATATCTTATAAAACTAATCCCGTTTATAATTAATAATGAATTATGTAAATCTATCATATAATATAATAGATGATTTAAAAAGAATGTTGAGTTAAATTAGTTTTCTTTAAGTAAATATATCTCACTTTATTTTAATCTTTTCATTTTGCTTACTGTTCTCTGTTTAGATTATTAATTTAAGGCAGTATCAATTAAAATTAAATTTCTTTAAATATTATTTGAAAACAGTTTTTATGATATCTCCTTGAATATTCCCTTAACTAAATTGACCATATATGTTAATAGTATTTAAGTAAAGGAAGTGTACATAAAACTAAAATGTAATAAAAATTTTAAAAATAAGAACTTACCTAGGTTTAGAAGTGAAGTTGAAGAGTAAAATCTGATAAAGAAATAATTAATAAAAAATATTAGTTATAGATTGTAATTATGATTTTTATATTGTTAATGAATATTCAGGTTCACTTTTACTTTAAGTCTTTTAAAGTTATTGATTTATTAGAAGATTCTTTAACTTATTATTCAAAGCGAATTTCATTAATATATAATATTGACAAGGTTTCAAAATTATTCTTAATCCAAAATCAATAACTTAATTAAAGAAAAATCAAGAATTAACTTTACAAATTTTATTTTCAAAGAAACATAATAAAGAAGATTTAGAATTCAAGATTAATTGTTATGATCCATAAATTAAAAAATAAATTTCTTATGAAATTAAAATTAATCTAAAAAGCTCCAAAATAATGGATATTTCGGTAAAGTACCTGCTCATAGACTGATAAGATATTATAAAAAATCGATTTCCTAATAAGCTAAATAAATGGATATAGTTAAGGTAAATCAAAAATCCCTCAAAGATTTAGATATTATAAATTTTTCATTAAAAAATCAAATTCTGTGTTCGAAAACAGCATTTATTTGTGAAGTCTTAAATGAAAAAATTTGTAAGAATTAATTAAGAACACAATTAAGAAAAAGCTCGAGTTTAAACCATAATCAAAACATGTATATCAAAGAAATGCTGTAGATAAGCTAAACTATAAAAAAATCTGTGTAGGTGGAAAAACAAGATTAATTATTTGGTATGAAAAGTTTAATGTAACAATTGCCATTGGTAAGGAGAATTAAGATGGATTCTCATGAGGAAGAAGATACTCAAAAAATAAATTATTAAGATTTATTAAATATTTCAAATAATAAGTAGAATATTAATGATTCTGAAGAGCTTATCCTAAGTAAGAAATGCTTAAAAATGGAAGAAAGAGAAGTGTCTAATGTGCTATAAAGCCAAAAATACTTTAAGAGGATGAGCAAATGTTATCAAATTTAGAATTAATTGACTGCTTGTAAGCAAATTGTAGTTTCCTCTTAGAAACACATATTGAAGATTAATTAAAATTAGGTAAAATAGATAATAAATATTATTTAGAAGATTTATATTGGCCAACAATGGTTTCCCTTTTATTTAAAATTATTTTGTCAGGATTCTAAGAGTTCTTGGTAATTATTTATTAAAGCCATAAATTATTTGTAAAAGAAAGGAGTTAATTATTTATTGAAAAAAGAGAGAGCATTTCAGATTATGAAAAACTTTTTAACAATGCAAAAGTTAGAAATATAAAATTAAATTATATTCTAAACAAACAATTAATTAAGATCATATTATTTTATTGATATTCTTATTACTCCTTAAATCTATTCATTCATTTAGCTGAATTCAACTTTTAAATATACATAAATTAACTAATTCTCCACTTTTTATTACAATCTTTTAAATAACTACTTCAGATTTTAATCATTATGAATTATTGTCGATAACTAATAATTCTCTGTAATCACTCATTTTCTATATATTTTAAACACTCCAAAATCTATAATTAATAATAAAGATTATATACAGCTAAAATATCTATAAATACTGGTTGTTACACATATATAAATGATCAGAAAAATAAACCATTATCATTTGAGTTCACAGTTAATAATTAAATAATATTTGAGTTTAAATGAAACCCTTTAAATTAATACAAAATATGATTTGTAAACGGTGAGTATAAAATAGATTATTCAGAACTTAGATCAATTTTTTTATTGATAATAAAGAT